GCATAGCAAGCAGTTGACATTCAAATGTAAATATTAACTATTCTGATTGGAGGGGAGAAAATACATATTTTAAGAAGGAGAACTCTGATTGGTTGCTCATTTGATATATGTATTGACGTTCAACTTTTACTGGTTCTCTCTTGCATCTTGTCTGAGGTGAGTGTGTGACTGTTCTTATAAATTCATTGTGAAGCTGGTTAAGATTTGTTTCTAAAATAAGGGCACATTTATGTCATTTATTAACAAGCAGGTTAAATAAAGTAATGTTTGAAGTCATTCAACTATGAACAATTAAATATATTTCAAGGCATACTTTATTTATTCAAGGTTGGAAGAAGTAATCTGATCCTTTACTTTAGAACAAATACTCATTAGCACATTTCTTTGCTAAATATATTTTGCTAAAGTATCAAAAGTTTCATGTAGATCTGCAATAAAAATATTTTTGGGGTATGGGGGGGGTCTGGGACCCGGAGTAATCCCGGCGGGCGGGAGCTGTTATGTCCCATCATGACACGTATGGTGTATATATATATTATAATGCAGCACAATCTGTGTGCTCCCTGCCTGTCGGCTCTGCTGATCGATGTATAATAAGGCTCTGCTGCCGTGATGTGCACTGAAAAGTGTTTCTGTCGCAATATTATCGTTGTCGAGCTAGCTAACTAGCATACATTGTCACTATCTGCTAACGTTAGCTTTAGCCTTCGTTTTCTAATAGTTTTTTTCATAGGCTATAAACGGAGGTGGTATAAGTAGGCTATAGATCTTGTACTTGAGTAAAAGTAGAAGTACTCAGATCTTGTACTTGAGTAAAAGTAGAAGCACTCAGATCTTGTACTTGATTAAAAGTACTCAGATATTGTACTTGAGTAGTGGGGGGGGGGGGGGGGGTGCAGTGCTTCGTGACCGCGGAGCGTGTGAACGTTGTGATCAGCTGTTTTAGAGACCGACTCTGCTTTGTGACACAAGTTACGGTAAGCATTTCAGATTGTTGCCGCGCATGCGTACCAGTTATGTGCGCCCCTGGCTGACATGGATGACAGTTAAGACACACACAGACACACTATAGCTCAGTTATATTTTTAATCAAAAAACTATTGAACACTGAAGTAACTATGATTGAATTGACTACAAATATGGCAATGGTGGTAAAGACTACAACAGCCATAATCCATTCTTTGTTTCAGGGACCTCTGCACCTGACCCTTTGATGTGTGATATTTTCATAACATGTCTGCATAGCAAGCAGTTGACATTCAAATGTTAATATTATATATTTCGATTGGAGGGAAATTACAAAAATATTTTAAAGAAGGAGAGCTGTGGTTGGTCGCTCATTTTTTAAATTCGATATATAGTTTGGTTAAACCAGAGACTGTCCTCTCGTTCATCTTATCTTGTCTGGGGTGAGTGATCATTCCTCTTGTGAATTAATTGTGAAGCTGGTTAAAGCAGAATGTCTAAAATAAAGAGCTTATTTTTGTCATTTATGAACAAAGGAAAGCTGGTTAAATGATTCCATAGCTTAAATAAAGTAATTTTTTGAGTCATTCAACTATGAACAATTAAATATATTTCAAGGTATACTATATTCAACGTTGGAAGAAGTAATCAGATCCTCTACTTTAGTACAAGTACTCATTAGCACAATTGTTAGCTAAATGTACTCCAAATATCAAAAGTAAAAGTACTCTTTATGCAGAATTCATATTTTCACAGAATGATATTATGGTAATTGTATTATCCTGTTTTTATAAATGCAAGAGCATTTAAGCATTTACAACATGGACCAAATGTTTAATCACCATGTGTGCAAGCATTGTGTTTGCAAGGTTTAATTTTTATTTTATTTTCACAGAGTGACGACTATTGAGCAGTTCATTACTGGTGAGTGTTGGTCAAAGACAGTGTTTGTAGTAACATATACCATGACAATATGTGGAACTTTCCAGTCTTTTCTTTGCAGGGTTTAATGCTGTGTTTTCCCCACAGATTGACAGCTTTGAGCAGTTCTCTACCGGTGAGTTGTGGTCCAAGACACTCTCAGTAGCATAAAGTATAATGAAAACAGATAGGCCCTTTATTAGTGTAAATCTAAGTGATTAGCAGCTTCTAATACAATTGATAATTTTTTTGTTTATAACTATTGTATGCTAAGCTATGCGATTGTATTGTACATTGTGTTAAGTAATTATATTTCCATGTCTGTGATGCTGATTAGTTTCTTCTCTGTTCTAGTTAAACAACCTACCGGCTTGACCAGCTACCCATCTACCTACTCATCTACCTTCTTCACTAGCTACCTATCTACCTTCACCACCTTCTCATCTACCTTCTTCACTAGCTACCCATCTACCTTCACCACCTTCTCATCTACCTTCTTCACTAGCTACCCATCTAGCTTCTTCACCAGCTACCCATTTAACTTCACCGGCTACTCATCTACCTTCAACACCCAGCTTTATCTCGTGAGCAGTTACAGTAAGTACATTTTTGTTGAACAGGATGCATCAACTATTAATGGACTTGTACGCTTTTGTTGCAGTTGAAATAAGTAATTGCGTAATTATTTGTACTATTTAAGGGGTCTGCTAATGTCTTTATTAATTCTAACAATGCCTACATACTTTCAGATGCCACGTGGTAAATCGTCCCGCCGTTCCCAGGCTGCAAAGCTACGCGTGGCTGGGACACGTGTGGGACATCAGCAGCCTGGCAATGCCAGTTTCGCACGTAAGTAGTCGAGGATTTTGTCATTCAATTTTGTATATGTTTAGGGTGTCCATTTTGGTTGTATCATTGTAAAATGTTTTTGCATGTGCATTTTTTACAGGCAGGCTCGTGCACAGATACACCCCTCTGTGGGCAAGCGAGCTAGTTATGATGAGGAGAATTGACTGAAATACACTTGATTTCTTTGCATTCATTTTTAGATAACTATCATGAAGCAGTGTTTGAAACATGGATTTGTTTGAAATATATACATTTTAAAATTCAATCACCGGTAGGACCCTTTATGCATTTGAGCCCTTTCCCTTCTAAAATCCTCTGCACGTGCCCGTTTACAGGTGTTATTGTAGGAAGGTGTGTTATTATTGCTTACATAATTTAAGAATTGTAAAGGTTCATTAAGTTTAATGTCGGTGTCATTTTCTCTGTTTTTAAATAGCCGCTGGCGGTACGGGTAACCGCCATAGAGTGCAGAAATGGCCAATTTCGTCCCTGACAGGACGACAACACAAGATGGTCATACCAGCGGAGTCTCCAGACAAGGAAGTATGAATTGTTTTCAGATTTTGTTAACAAAGTCTGGGTAATCATTAGTGATTTTCATTTGAAATAATGTCTTCTGTTGTTACAGTTTGTCCTCCTTGTTGGAGCTTCACATCTCCGTTCCATCGTCGATGGAATTGTGAAGATGCCAGAGGGAAGGTTTTCCTTTGGTGCCATGTCCACACCGGGGGCATGCGCAACCCAGCTGCGAACCGAGGCAGCCAATGCTGTGCTGCCTAGGACACCAGATGCAGTCTGTGTGATGGCTCCGAGCAACAACCTAACATCCAGTAGGACCATCACCGAAGCAGGAGAGGACTTTGCGGAGCTCCTCGCCACTGCCCGCAGTCGCTGGCCCAACGTAAGCTTATTTTTTATTGTATTTATTATAGTTCTTATAATATTACATTTTGTATTCTTATTGATGTGGTTGTATGTTTATGAATTTCTGAAAAATTGACATTTTTATCAACAAATTGTGAAAAATAGCGTACCTTTGTAACTTTGATTAGGTTTTTGCCATGGACTTCCCCCCGCGCCTTACCGTTGACCCTGACTACCAAGACATGATGCGTCAGGAATTTCGTCGTGTTGCGGCACGTATGGGTATGTTTAACAAATATTTAGGTTCAAGTACTACCGTAAATCATTTTCCTATTTTTCATTATTCTTTGTTTTAAAAGAGCAAAATATAATATCTGTGTGGATATGTTAGTAATTGATCTTGTTGGTTTTTTTTTAGGCGTGAAGTACACACCGCTTGCTGAGTACTTCCCTTTCAAAGAACTTGACCTGTGGAGCAGAGATGGCGTGAGTGACATGGCAAATGGAAACGTTTTCTCTGTATACTTGTTTGTAGCTGAAATTCCAAGTTCCGTTCTTGAAAAAACATATTGAAGGTTATGTGCTATTTGTAAATGTATTTGTTTTTGCAGGTGCACTTGAGTGACAGTGCGGGAATGCCAATCCTGGTCGGTTCTATCTGGAACGCAACATACATGCAACTTGTTCCAGCCGAGCCGAAGCCATCTCCTGTTGTCCACAGAAGATCACCGCCTGCGAGGAGAGTCACTCCAAGGGTGATTGTCAAAGGAGAGGTTGCCAAATCACCGCAACTGGATCCTTCCAAGTGGACCGTTTTCGGCCAGGGCAGGAAGGTAATTGTGTGGCAGACATCTTTCAATAAGAGTGATATTCCCTGAGCAGTTTGCCTTGATAATGATGGAAGAGTACCCATTTGATTAACACAAGCTATGCTATTTATCTTTACAGAGGAGCCAACACGATGAACCTGAGCAGTCCATTGATGCACTTAAAGAAGCAGGGACTGTTCAGCAGGAGGTAGGTCAACTTTGTAGTATGCTTTGAAATCATTGGGGTATGTTTATTGCAGTTTATATGTGCATTTCTTTTTCTAAAACAGTGTTTCTTCATTTTTATTTCACAGGAAGTGGAGGAGAGTTATCTTCCACTGACACCTGTGTGGTTTAGCAGTGCAATGTTGGTTGAGATGGACAAGATTAGTCCATCCCATCTTCCTGGCCCTGATGAGTGCACATCACCGGTTCCAACACCACAAAAGGTAATTTGTTTGTATGTTGGTTGATGCCCTATTATAAAATGTATCCTTCCTGACAAACTTTAAATGTATTACAGTGAGGACAACTTATACTGTCCATAAGGAGTTATTAGTGGAGGATTAATCATTTTGTTTTCCTTACGTTAGAAAGCAAAGTTGGAGCTGAAGCAGAGGGCTCCTGCCTCCAAGAAAACCCTGGCAAAGCGACAGGTTGTTCTTGTTTTCTTCTTTTTTAAAGGCAATATAGGACTTGTTTAAAACTAAGAAGTTACACGAATATCGGTGGTGTTATTTATTCTCAAGTTTACTAAATTGTTTTGTTTTTTTAGGGGGAGGCAGCTCCCATTGTTGTGGAGGTGATTTTACGGCCACCTACCAGTAGAGGGACAGTTGCTGTGGAGCAGCAGGTCTGTGCTCTTTGTGTGAACGATGTGCTTTCAGAGTGACATTTGAATGAATCATGCTAATTTATTGACATAGTTACTTTTGCTCATTGTTAAAATAAAATAGTTTCAGTTGTTAGCCTGCATGCAGTCAACGTTGTTTCAAGTGTACACAATCAATGACAAGAAACCTCTCTTTTGAGTTCCATTCAGTATGTGTGTGGGTAAGTAGAAAAACAAAAGTTAATATATAACAATAATCATTTTGTATTAGTAATTGTATATCTTTCTATTATTTAGTTAAACGTTTGTGAAACAATTTAAGACACATAGTGTTTTTAGCAGTTTTTTTATATATGAATTTTCTTCTAGGAGGAGCCATTGCCGGGGTTGGAGCCATTTCCAGGAGTGGAGGCATTTCCAGGAGTGGAGCCATTTCCAGGGGTGGAGCCATTTCCAGGGGTGGAGCCATTTCCAGGGGTGGAGCCATCATCCAGCAAGGAGCCATCATCCAGCAAGGAGCCATCATCCAGCAAGGAGCCATCACCCAGCGTGATAGTGGATGTTGATGAGGACAACGGATGCAGAACAGGTAAGGGCTATGCTTGCATGTGTTCAGAAAAAGTGCAGCTGGCTGTTGTCGCAGGGACTGTTGTGAGGTATGCATCCGTTTCTGACGATAAAATATCTGTTGCATGTTCTATAGCGGCTGCGATCAAACATTTGATTGCGCCTGTGTGTTCGTGGAGCAGTACAGATATCGATGCCATACGTGTTGCAGGGTCAAAGCTTAACTCGTTTGTATTAGGGGAAGCCCATAAAATGAATGTAAAGCCAAAGAACTTGTGCAGGTTGGTTGAGCAGACCAGTGTGTTTGGACGTAAGTGGAACGTCAATATGGGTCTGCCAGTGTACGGCGAATTTAATTTGTCTGAAGGGGAACGGGTATTGTCGGAGAAGCTGCTTGAACACTTATCCAGGGATGGCATGTGTCTGTTTAGCCTAAATTCCGCAGCCAGTGTCATTATTCAACACAATGACTGTATTGTGGTCGTTGATTGTGGCACACGTGCTGCGTCTGGGTTAGCATCCAGTTATGGCACATCTGTAGCCGTGTTCAACACATGCCTTAATGACCTGATGTTTTACATCAGGAATCTCAATAATTCATTGAATGCACAGAAGTTTAGCATTACAAGACTTTCTGTGAAAGCAGCTGAAGTTAATTCGGAGACGGCTAGAGTCATTGATGGGGATATGGGGTGTGTCAGGGGAACATTCAGTCAGGGTGATCAACGCTTTAAATATGCAGGACTTCAGTGCATGGCTGTCAGTTTGGTAGGCATAGCCAAACACAACATTGACAGTGTGTTTACATGGCAGACCGACAACCTGGATAAAGTTGTTGTACTTGGTGACAATCTGTACACCTCCCTGCGTGACCAACAAGGTATCAGTGGAGGATACAGTCTACTTTCGGTTCCAGATCTGCCCAAGGAGACCATTATCGACGGACAAAGATTTCTGTTTCAATACAGTGACTTTGTGTCTGGAGATGTGGATGTGGTTGAGGGTGATAACATTGATGAGGGTGTGCACACCACTTTAAAATACGCACTGGAAAGCATGTGTAGTAAATATGACACATGCTTTCTGACAATGAATGGCGCTACATGTGCCATCATTGGTCAAGGTGGACACTACGCAGTGGTCGACTCCCATGCACGCAGTGCGTCTGGGATGAGCGATGGCGAGGGGCGTAGTGTTGTTCTGTATTTCAGAGGCCTTGAACACGTGTTTGAATACATATGGACATTTGCAGCGTTCCTCAAGAAGTCTCAAAAACAGTTTGAGATCGCTGGTGTCCGAGTCACTCACATAGGCCCAATTGAAAGCAGTAATCTGTCTTTGGGTCCAAGAGTGACTCCCAAAACGACAGAGACTGATTTGGGTTGTAGTTCAGCTATTCAGTCCACCAACATTCAGATGGGTGCAAAGCATAACATTCCAAAGGGATCTTCTGAGTCTCAAAAACAGTTTGAGGTCGCTGGTGTCCGAGTCACTCAAATAGGCCCAATTGAAAGCAGTAATCTGTCTTTGGGTCCAAGAGTGACTCCCAAAACGACAGAGACTGATTTGGGTTGTAGTTCAACTATTCAGTCCACACTTGGCTGCACCAACATTCAGATGGGTGCAAAGCGTAAGATTCGTAAGGGATCTTCTGCTTGCAAAAAATTAAAAAAGAGTGATGTTACCGCAGATAATTCAGACGTTGCTTTTGTCAAAGAAGTAAGAAGTGGACGACTGCAGTTTAATCCTCTTAGTCATCAACTTGCACAAGCTCTTTGTGAGCAGTTACATGTGCATTCAGAAAAAGTAGATGTTGTGTCTACACAAATTGGTTTAATAGGGGCTCCATGTCTCAATGAAAAAATAGAGGGTGACGGAAACTGTTTCTTTAGAGCAGTGAGTCAAGCTGTGTGTGGTACACAAAGGCATCACACAATAATTAGGCGTGCAGTGGTTCATCAAATGCAGAGCAATGCTGTGCCTTATGAGCGTATTTTGACCTCCTCCATGTCAGAATACCTCAGCACATCCAAAATGCGGGAGGTTGGCAGTTGGGCAACAGAATTAGAAATTCAAGCAGCAGCAGATGCGTTTGGAGTTAATATATTCACATATTGTGATCCACGCTGGCTAAAATATAGTTGCGAGAATGGGCAGTTGTCTAATCAGGGGGTTTATTTGGAAAACCGCAATGGTAATCATTATGAGACTGTTGTGTGTGTAAAACAACCTAATTTGCAGAGTTGTTATGGGTATTGCAAATTTGACACTTCTTGTCCAAGACTGTACAATGTCAGACGGACAACTAGGGGCAAAAGGAGGGTTACCGAACAAACGCATGGTACATCGTCTGCTGGGGACACAGATTGTGTGGAAAAGAGTGATGTAAGTAAAATCACTCTTGAATTTAATCCTTTGTGCAATGAAGTGGCAAAAACACTTTGCACAAAGTGTAATATAGACTTTGAAAAGCAGGATGTACAGGGACCTACAGTAACTGGGTCCCTAGGTGTGGTCTGTAAGACCGAAAAAATTAAAGAGGACGCCAATAGTTTCTTCGGAGCGGTAGCTCATGTTCTCAGTGGTTCTCAGAAGAGCCATCGAAAGATTAGAAAGACTGTTGTGAAGCATATGATGAATCACGCAGAACAAACGAAAGTAGTTGGGGGATCTGCTTCAATTTCAGACTACATTGAGAAGTCTCGGATGAAGTATGTAGGACATTGTGCCACAGATGTAGAAATCCAAGGGACAGCAAATGCTCTTGGAGTGGACATTTTTATCTGCAGTGGGGAAAAATGGCTCAAATACACTTGTAATTGTGCAATGCTTTCAAAAGAAAAAATATACTTGAAACATTGTGATAAAAATCATTTTGAGCCAGTGGTTTGTATCAAACCTTACGATGAACAAAGGTGCTTTGAATTGTGTAAAGTGGGGGGTTTGTCAGAGACACGGTCTATGCGTAGCAGTGTTGATATCTGTACTGGGAAGGGTGGGGTTAAAGACAATGCAGAGAGTGTTGCCAGCTGTAGTCGTAGGCATTCAACATATTTAAAAAAGATATACAGGTCACAAATTAAACTGCATTATAAAAGTAACACAGGGTACCAGCAAAGGATTAGGGATGCGTCCATGAAAAAGTATAGTGATGCAGATTATCAAGAGAGAGTAAGAGTCGGTCGTAGAAAAAGGTATTTCGAGGATGAAGATTACAAACACAGAGCAATTGGACATACTCAGGTTAGATACCATGAAGACCCATTGCATAATCAGATGAGAAAGGATTCAAGTAAAAGAATATATAGATGTAATCTGTTGGAAAAAAAAGAATATAGTGTAAAAAAATATCATGACGATGACCTGCATAGAGAAAGGGTTCAAGCATTAAGCAAACAGAACTATAGACTAAAAGTTTTACATAGAGAAAAAGCTATAGCATTTAGCAAACGTAAATATAGTCAAAATAAATTGCATAAAAAGAAGGTCAAATCCATGAGTTCAAAAAGGTATCATGGTAATCCAAATTATAAGAAGCGAGTAACGGCTAGCAACAAATTGAAGAGGCAACAAATGCAACAAAATAGACTAGATTTTGTGATGCAGCAGTTTTTGGCCAAAGTTAAGAATGGACCCGTTTTTGTGTGTAGCTGCTGCGAGAGGTTGTTATTTGAATCGCAGGCCTTGCACTGTAAAAAAGACAAATATAAGAATCAAGAACTCGCCAATAAATGCATCAGAGACACATATTTACACACATGTACTGATGACTGTGAAGTACCCTGTGTTTGGATTGATATTGGGAGAGGGCAGTCTTGGATCTGCAGCAACTGTGATAACAAACTTAAGAGAGGTGTGATGCCACCTGAATGTGTTCTCAATAATTTGGCAGTAGACCCCATTCCCCCAGCATTGGCTTGTTTGAACAGCATAGAGCAGCATTTAATTGCCAGAAATATACCATTTATGAAGATGGTGGCATTGCCCAAAGGTGGGCAAAATGGAGTTCACGGACCGGTGACGTGTGTTCCAGCCAATATAGTCCAAACTACAAATTTGCTCCCCCGCTCAAGGATGGAAGGTTCCATCTTGCGAATAAAGTTAAAGCGTAGATTGACCTTCAAAGGTCATTATAAATATCAATTTGCAGACCCAATGCGCATAAAGCGTGCATTACAATATTTAAAAAGAAACAATAAGCACTATAGGGATATTGAATTTAATAAAAGTTGGTATAACGAGTTTTGTAGGGAGGAGGAAGAGAATGAACAAACCCACACCAAGGAAACATCATCAGAGGCTGCTGAAGAACAGCCATGTTTGTTTCAGGACATGGATTTGATGGCTGTGGATACTGATCTGGAAATTGCAGATCAGTTTTCAGATAGAGAACTGAACATGGCCCCAGCAGAAGGCAATAGTCCTGCAAAAGAAAGTTCATTCATTCCTGTAAGGGTTCCCGAGTTTGAGGAACTTGATGACGCTCTGCTTAATGAGTTTTGGAGGGAACGGGATGATGACTTTGTAGACAATCCGACCTTGATGGATTTGCCAACTAATGAAACGTCTGATGCTAATGCTGATGATGAGCTTTTACACGACAGGCAACAGCATTGCATGTTTCAGGACACATGTCTGATGCCTGTTGATATTGGACAGGAAGTGTTGGATCAATATTTTGATAGTACATTAAATGTCGCTCCAGCAGAGGGTAATAGTCCTGTGAGGCTGTTAGCAGACATTTCCAACGAAGCAAAATGCTTTCCTGTATTGTTCCCACTGGGCATTAACACCTACCGTGATTCGAGGCCCCGCAAGATAACATTAGCACGCTATTTGAATATGCGTGTTTTAAAT